TCATGTTATACCCAGCTGGGACCTGCACCCACAGTACCAGAATGCAGACAGGTCAATATTTTCTCTCTGTGCTAAACAACTTTGCCTGTTTATAATACCAACTTGCATCACAGGCTTTGTTCTATTTCATTTTTTTTTAAATTTTTCTTTTTTTAAAAAATAAATTTCAAGTTAAAACACCTGAAATATAATCCCTCCATTCAAACGTTATCTGGTCCCTCTTAAAGTTTGTCTGCCCCCTGAGGACACATACAAAGGCTTAAGCTACATTCACTAATCAATAAGAACTTATCACAAGCAGACGAGACAGATGGAACTTCAGCACCCTGTTTGAATTTATTTGAAATTCTTCCATACTGACTCAGCTTCATGATATGTTCAATCCCTCAAGGATTAATGCCTCTTCTAGCCATTGATTCTAGAGAGTCAAGGAAACCAGTTCCTAGTACATACAGTGACTGTGTAGTCAACTTAATAAAGTCAACATTATTAACATTAAAAGTATTCAAGATGTATGTAAGCCACCCAACGAAAAGTTCTAGTTGTGCTTTGTACAACTGAGTGAACAAATTTATCTCACAGCTCTTCACCTATAGGCCTACATAAGCACACTTCACCTTGCCCTTCCTCATCTGAAATTAGTCAAATTTAGGCAGTGTTTCCTTGATGTCAACAAAGCCAATTTAAAATGAAAATAATTTAGTAAAATGATTACTACATGTGGTCTCCATGATAACAATAATTTAAGGGCTTCAAAAATCTTTTACTATTCTGGAAAAAATTAATGGGTATTTTGGCATACAATATACAGTATTATGTTGGGATGAGGATAAAGTCTCATTTAAAACTGGAAATAAATATTATTCACTCGAATTACTTTTCCTTCAGTCTTTATCCATGATAAAAAAGAATAAAATAAGCTTTTAGCCCATCTTTTAATTAACTGGGCTAGTCAAATCTAATTTCCTGGTATTTTTCTTTTACAGCGATTTTTTAAGGCTAGCTTTGAGGTGCTAAAATATTTTAATCAATGAAAAGCTTCTAAAGTCACATGATTTGAAGATAGGAGAAAGACCAAAAAGTCAGTTGATAATTAACTGATGAGGGAATTCCTTAAGTTGCTAAGACCCAAACTGGGTCATTTTTAAAAGTGCAAGTTACACCAAACATTTACAAAGAATATAATGTAAATATAATCCAAATAAATATACAACTTTTGTATTAGGTCAATGGGAAAAAATATACCAACAATTCTCAGGGCTACAAAGGCAACAAAATAAAGCCTCTTGAAAATAACTGAAAAGGTATGTAACCACTATTTCTAAAACCCACTTTAATTCAAAATCCTAATTTTAATATATATTAGCCTTATATAATCCAACAAAATGAAGCAGCCTTTGATTTTCAAAATAAACAGAGACCAATTTATACTAATAGCTGACTCTAGCTGATCACAGAATTAAAAACTTATTAAATATGAAAAGAAGAAACCTAGATTGAAGTCACTTCAAGTAAGTAAAAGCATCCTGGTTTAAACAAACTTGTATCTTCCTAAGCCTTTGTATGATTCCACATGTCAACCCAAAAGGTTAAAAGATAGTAGGGATTAGTCCTGAGAGACAGAGATAAACTTCAGCCAGATGACATCTGATGGGACAGGCTGCCTAACTGGTATTGTGCTTTCAGAGACTAGCACTGCTGCTGACTACCGTCAAAACACATTTTCTGACAAAATCCCTGCTCAAATGAAACATCAAAATTCCTCCCCCAGGATGATTTTTGAAAAGTCAGTGGTTCCTTGTAAAAGCTATCTTTAAAATGTTCTTACCACTGTTATAGCTGCCAGAGACAAAGCATAAAAACCAAATACTTTTAGTGGGGGAAGTTGGGGAAGTTTTCAAGTGACTAGCAACATATTTAGAAGTATCAAGCCAAAGAAAACTTAATAATAAAATACTTGGAAGAAAATTAGATGATAAAAAAATCAATCATGAGTGCTGGAGTAATGCAGTCATAGAATCTACCAGAAGGGATGCAACAAACACACAAAAATGTAAAATTTCATCTGACCTCAATATACTATAATACTCAGCATTCCTGACGTAAGAGCTCTCAGAGCTTTAGATTATATACTGTATGTATATATGTACACATATATTATACAAATGCCATTTCCCGTCCCCCCCCCCAGGATATCTAAATGAACAGAGCACCTATGACAATATTATGGTTGCCAATATGGTACTGAGTTTGAAAAAGAATGAACTTAAAATTGTATCTGATATCAATTTTTTAATGAACAAATTGGATCTAGCCCTTTCTAAACCACTTTTCAGTTAAACACTATCAAAGCTCAAAAACTCCTAAGAGTAAGATATCAAAAATAAACCCCTCCCCACTTCATTTTTATTAGAGTTAATCTGTCCTATAGATAAAAGTGCCACATGGCCCTATATTTGCAAAGTGAGCGATACCAAACTTGCTAATTTCTAGGCAAATCAGTAGCATATGTACAAATTCCTATGATGACATTTTCATTCCCTTTTGGCCAATATGAAGAGGAAAACATTTATTACTGGTAATGTGGCCACATATGTTCTTGGCTACGGGATTTTTTTTTATTATGTCATTTTCTTAATAAAGGTTCTCAAAGCTTCATGCTTAAAAACAAACACCTTTTTCCCCCCAATTCTCATACTAAAAAAAAAAAAAAAAAGCCCGCACAAAAGATGCTTGATTTCTATCTGTATAAACTGAAATCTTCAAGTCTTTCCAAGGGTCTAAAACAGACTTAGCAACAGGATACATTCCTCACCTCGCATTCAGTAACTGACTTCAAACCAGTGCAATCTTCCTCAAAGTATAAAGGACCAGGTCTTTATAACTTAAAATCCACCCAGCTAATATGAATGTGATTGCCTTGATTTATCAGGGACTAAGAGGACCACCAACTTCCTAACTTAAGTAGAAAGCCTCAGCTTTTGAAAAACAGACAACTTTAGAGAATACGAATTGCTAAATACCAGGCAATTTTTCATTTGTGACACTTATGACATTCAGAATGTTCAATCTGACATTTTGACTCAATAAGAAATAATTCCAGTTTGTGAACAGATCTGTGACTTTGCTTGGTTTCTGTTAAACCAGTTTTAGAAAATGACATATCTATGCTGGTATACAATTTTTATGCTATAACTTTCCCCATTAGCTCAGCAGGACAAATATCAAACTTTACAGTCGTTTGACAGCCTTCTTGAGAATCTGGTGAATTGTCCAAACATAAAGACTACATCACTCAATTCTTAGAATGATGCTCCTTCATAAACTCTGTTCATCCTTGAAAAAAGACAATGGTTTGTTACAAACAAAAATATACCATTTACAAATACTAATTAAAAATCTTTTTTAAATGGACCCAATAATTAACACTTAAATCTGCACATTCTGTTATCATGTTAAGCAAAGTTAACTTCTTAATCCATTACTAAATATGAAACATTAACCTTCTAAGTTTCTTGACTCTTTTTTTAAAAAGAATTTCCTTCTCAAATGAGAAATTATAATCTAACATTATGCCAGTCTCCAAATTTTTAAAATCCACCGTAGTCTTATCTTTCTTTTAAGGGGTAACTTTTAGATTTATCAAACTTAGTGAATAAAACAAGTAATTAATAATTAAAAGTAGTATTAGGGGAACAATGTATGATATACACAAATATAGACTATTATAGTCAGGAATTAAAATAGGTAGCTCCTTTATAAAATGACAAAGGCAATATAGCATATTGGAAAGCTGAAACATAACTACCCTTTTTAGAAGAGAACAAAAAAATGTTTTGTAAGAATGACAATCCAAATATTGTAGTACAGTAGTCATTCAAATATGTCTGAAGAAAATTGCTTTCCTTGTGCAAATCTAAAATCTAACACTGTACTTTTTAGAACAATATCCCTACAACTTCTTTCATTTAAAAAATTCACTAGAGATTCTCTGTTGAAGTATGTTAATGTGGAAAAGATTTAGAATCAGTATTTTTCTACATGTAACATTTTATAAACAAATACATCACTGCTTTATTTAACATCTTGAAGGCTTTCCTGTTGGTGGTATAATGTAAGTGCAAAGGACAACAGTAAATTAGAAATATCCTTTTAAGTAAACGAGTGACAATATAAATATTTTTGAAAGTGAGGACAAAAACATTTATTAAAAAACCTTGTTACGTGACTCAAGGGGTTGGTTTACTAATCAGCATCTTTTTACTCAGAGTTTAGTACTAACTAAAATAAGCTTTGTAATTTTATTTACTTCAATTTAATTTAAAATTCAAATACCATGCTTTTTCATTTAGTTGGTTACTTCTTTTAATGTATTCAAAAATGTTGAACACATACAGAACTGAATTAAGAAGCAACAACTGCCCTATGGAAGAGCTGTAGTTAATACAGAATGTTTGTAAGAACCAAGGACAACTTTTCAGTATTGAAGAAGAGAATGTACATAGAAAGCACTCCAAATTCATTACTAATTTCTTCAATACCATACTAAAATTCTTTTTTAGAGGGTAAGAGGGTATGTCTCTTAACAATTTTACATAATTGACAATGAAAATGTGAAAACATGTCAATTTGGCAATCAACACTTCTTCATTGTACCTTACTTACTTTATGCATGCGGCCCACATATTACTTCAGCTCAAGAGGCTGGGGTAATTCTGTCCCTAAGGCAATCAAGGAGCTCAGCACAAACCTTGAAATCATTTTAAAAAATATTTTCTTTTCCTTATTTCCCCCATCAATTTACAAGAAACGAATTATTACTTCTTGAGGAGGGTGGGCGTTGAAAAGCAGAAGTCTCTTCATGATTCCTGGCGCTGAAAATTTCTTGAGGGGAGAAGTGGAGGCAGGTGTTGGAACATTCACAGTTTAATGCAAAAGCACAAATGAATGAAATTCTGAAGTTGCTTTCAGGCAGTTTTGCGCATAGAAAAAAAGAAATGTTTAGAAAATAAAATGTTTATTTTGTCTTTCTGGTTGTGGCCAAGCCAGTTCATTTTCCACCTTAACAGGTGAAAATTTAAATCCCAAATTAATCTGATTTGTGGCAGTAAAGGTCCTTAAGTGCTTTTAGCTCCTCAATCAATGTCTTGTTTTGGTTTTCAAGCACTGCCACTCTGTTTTCTAAACATTTCACATATTCTTTCTTCTTTCTGCGACATTCTCGGGCTGCTTCCCTACAAGGAAAAAAGGACAGGAAAAATTATGCAAATGATTTCTGTATCATTTATTTTGGGTTAGAGTACTTTTTAAAAGAGAAATAGCTCAAAGCAACAAACATTTTTGTACATATTAGACATCTGAAAAACATACAGAATGACTTGGAAATTATCTTATGTTAAATTTTAATCTTAATATACCATAGAAGGTTGATTTAAAAAAAAAAAACCCCATAAACAAACGAGTTAAACGATCACTTACAAACCACATCTCTCACTACATTAATTAAAATGTTCTGCATCATATCCAC